TCGTTCCACAGATAAAATATCAGCTTCTTGGCCTTATGGATAAAGCATCAGCACGGAGAGCGGAAGGTCGGTGGTTCAAACCTTGGTCGCGTCATACCAAAGACATAATAGATGCGCTCTGCTGCTCGCTGTTATGGAAAAAACCGATGATTTTGGAGGCGGTCGAAGTACCTTGTCTTAGTGTGGTTTCCATGTAGCTTATTAGTGGGCTAGACCTGCTGGCAAAGCACACACACACACACACACAAACAAACACACACACACACACACACACACACACACACACACAAACAACAACAACAACAACAAAAAACACACACAAAACACAACACACACACACACACTCAACACACTCAACACACACGCACACACGCATATGCACGTGTGCAAGAATGGCAGGGGCGTAGCTTCCATTAAGAAAAATGATTGTTGCTAAAAATTGGTTTGGCAAGCCATCAATACTATCTAAATATAAAGCTTGGTAACCTATCGGGCTTACACTAAAAAATTGGCTTGCTACGCGCCTGAATGGACATCTGATTGTTCCCAATCTTTAATCATTTGTCTTAATTTGGTAATACAGGTCTCTGTGTGATGCACACCTTCTGTTGTCATGACAACTGCTATCACTCTTTAATCAAGACTCATGTTTTTGATTAAGATGACACGAAATTATGAAACCATCGACACATTCTGTTATGATGTAACATATGCAGGCTTCACGTGTGAAGGTATATTTACGGTGAGGGCTCCTTAGGGAAACTATTACTCCCCTCGTCATTCTGTAATGAATCAGACCGTGGGCACGACAGGCCGCCTACAGCACGACACGGGTTACTTATTGGGTGTTGCCAAGGCTGAAGTCAGGTGATCGTGTCGAGGCACGTCAGGGGAGATAACCGCTTGATTTATACAAGCATCCGTACACATGTGACAGGAGAGTGAGTGAGTATAGTTTTATGCCGCTTTTAACAATATTCCAGTAATATAACGACAGGGGACACCAAAAATGGTGTCACACATTGTACCCATGTGGGGAATCGAACGCGGCCCGTTGACGTGAGGAGCCAACACCACTGGGCTATCCCACCGCCCCTGTGAATGTGCTCTTGGAATACAGGCAGCCAGCCAGCCCGCCAGACAGACAGACATACACTCTTTATATTAAATATCGAACCGCAGATATTACTCATTTGAAATAATTTGACTATTTACTGTTATGCATATATTATTATATCTTTTTTAAGGATGATCTTCAACAATAGTAATAAAAACATCATGTTCTCCAGTTATTTGCAAAAAAATATTCCACTTTCAAGTTAATTATTCCTTTCAGTGTGATGCTGTCAGCAATTGGATCTTATCAAAACAGGAGAAATGAACATATTGTTAGTATGACTTATTTTCCTACCCAAATCTTTGATGCTTTTCATGACACTTTTTCCTTATGACTTTTTTCCTACATTCGTGTAGGTAGGTAGGTAGAGGTTAGTGTAACCGTACTTTAAATGATAGTCATTTTTAAACCAACAAACTAAAGCCAAAAGGTGTCAGGATTAATATTATATTGTTTCGGTAAATCGGTTATTTATAGCATAATGTGTTATTTGTGTGTGCACTTTGAGCGCATACCTCGGCAATATTATATAAGTCGCAAATGTTTATTACAGGTTCCAAAGGATAAGTGTGATTATAAACAAACTCGTTTCATAAATGGAAAGTCTGTTTGTGTTTCCATTCCTTCGTTGTGTGAATGTTTTTGACTATATCGTGTACGTTTGTAGGATACAAATATGTCGATATTTTTTATGAATGCAATTTATATATGGTATCTGAGACATATACTGAGAGAAACAAATGAAGGATCACAGGAAAATGCAAGTGTTCCTTTAATATATTCCAGCTTTCATCACCAGCTTTGTATAGGTAGGTAATATGTTTCTCTCAGCATATTTGTGATGATATGAGAGAGAAAGAGAGAGTCATAGAATGTGATAGAGAGAGAGAGTGCGTGTGAGAGAGAGTGTGTGTGAGAGAGACAGAGTGAAAGGGAGGGAGAGAGAGAGAGACTATGCGTGTGTATATGAAAGTGAGGTTGAGAGAGATAGAAGAGAGAGTGTGTCAGAGAGAGCGTGTGAGACAGTGTGTGTGTGTGTGAGAGAGAGTGAGATGGAAGAGAGAGAGTGAGAGGGAGTGTGAGAGAGATAGAAGAGAGTGAGAGAGCGATAGATAGAAGTGTGTGAGAGAGTGAGAGAGATAGAAGAGAGAGAGAGAGTGTGAGAGAGAGTGTGAGAGAGAGAGAGAGAATGATAGTAGAGAGAGAGGGAGGGAGAGAGAGAGAGAGACTATGCGTGTGTATATATGAAAGTGAGGTTGAGAGAAATACTAGTAACAGTGAGAGAGTGTGTGTGACAGAGAGAGTGTGTGTGTGAGAGGGAGAGAGAGAGTGTGTGTGTGAGAGAGAGAGAGAGAGTGTGTGTGTGTGTGTGTGTGAGAGAGAGAGAGTATGCGTGTGTGTATATTTCATCATTTATAATACTATACATAAATGTTTCTACTTCACTTCATGGATTACCACTAGTATGACTCTCAATCCTGAGAACGAGAATACAGTCACACGTCTTCAACAGCGTTTGTCAGTTGCAACTCCCATCTATCTATCAACGTCTCCACCAGTCCCAGCTCACGCAGGCCCGTACATGGTCAGGTCAGTCCCAGTACGGCCGTCATAGCCATCGGTCATCCGCCCTGCCCATGCCAGCTGCTAAATGGGGTTTGCGGGGATCTGCTGGCATGAAATAGATTACATGTCGATAACATCCCTGAGATGACGGGCCGGCTGCTGTTGCCCAGAAATTAACACGCTCCGGAGACAGCCAAGCCAAATATTCCACTCGGCGTTTTGGCTTCATCTTTGAATGTGATGATTTGCTAATGCAGCATTTACAGATCCTGTTTTCAAGTAATATAGCGGATTATTTTCCCATCATATACAGAGGAATGCCTCTTTTTTAACACCGAAGCGAAAACCATGACAACTTGATACGCCCCTACAAACACCCAACTTAGGGTGCGATATCAAATACGGGGTGATGATTTAGGTGAGTGAGTGAGTGAGTGAGTGAATGTTTTTTGGAAGGGCGGAATTAGAATATGTTAACGGTTGGTCTCAGCATTTGAAACGTACTGATCAACGTATTGATTTTTGTGATAAGTTTATATCAAAGACAAGCCAGTGAGATTTGTCATAAATGCTGAATTATAAACTTAAGTGAAACCTGAGACCTTGATATTCCGGAAAGAAATTGTTTGTGGAAGAGTGAGTGAGTATGGTTTCTGGACACCAGAAATGGGATTCACACATTGTACCCATGTGGGGAATCGAACCCGGGTCTTCGGCGTGACGAGCGAACGCTTTAACCACTAGGCTATCCACCAACCTCTTGTGAAAGATTATATTTGAATTCTTAATTTTCTACATGCAAACAAAGGACTCTCAAACAGTGATTCCTTAACTGATAGTCCCACCAATTTCTTTGGGACACCCACGGCCGGATTAACGGGGCTTTGATGTTTTTCAGCAAAGTGGTAAAATCTGCACCAATTCGGCCTTTTCACCGACACAAAGCTGACACACGTGACATCGAAATGGCTGCCACCTGAGCTGCAGAAAGGGAGTCCTCTTCAGACACACCCACACACACACCCAAACACACATTTTTTAATTTATTTAAATTGTGCTGTGACATTTAAAAGTAATTGAGGAGGGTGGAATTCTAAGAATTTTATTGATTTAAGAATTCTTACCAATTCTAAGAATTTTTATAAATACGGCCCCTGGTTTCTGGTTGGATATAGGAGATATCGTTTTGACAGTAGATTCTGTACAATGCCCTGACTATGCTTTGACGTCATGAACTTGATGACGTCACAATGCTACGACATAGCTGCACTGCAAGTCTGATGGCAGTACCGTGTTCAGAGATGCACATGTTTCATTGAAAAGTGATTTTTTTATGATAAATAGAATCTCACCCTCGTGTCTTCTGATATCTTATATATATGAACCACACGTTGATAAAAGTAAAAATATCCTCGGCAAGCCTCGGATATTTGTAACTTTATCAACTCGTGTTGATATATTTGATATTTAAGAAATACACTTCGCTCTACCACCATGTATAGTGTAATAAAACACACTTTTGCCCTGAACTATTATAGTTAAAGCACGAGGACGCTTGCGTCCGAGTGCTTTAACGTTATAATAGTTCTGGGCGAAAGTGTGTTTTATTACACTATACATGGTGGTAGGGCGAAGTGTATTTCTTTTCTAAGATGCCAAATTTAATACTTTCTAAAGATAATTACGATTAATTTAAGGCAGAAAACAACGACGGTGTCGGTGACCTAAATTAAAAATCCTCGCACAGGGCTAACTGGTGCGCTGTTCTATTGATGTGTCTGCCCCCTACATTAAGACGAACGTTACCAGAAAAAAACAAATGATATCAGTTTGATGACGGTTTACGTTCGGATTAAATATCTTCTCTGAATTATTTTAATTACATCTGTCATTAACGTAAACCATATGGGGCAATATGCACGTTGCGTAAGTTTAGATCAGTACATCCAGAGGAAGTTGATAGTCAAGCGACATTCCACAATTGCATTGTGGGAATGTAAACATTACGAACGTTACCGTGTCGCTGAAAACTTGTGAGTCGAAATGACACATTTTAACCGTCGTAAAACATAAACGTAATGTTTCCACCAGTGATGTTAGCTGCGTGAAGCAACAGCAAACCAAGAAACTGGATGCAACGGTGTAGTTTACTGTAGGATGTCGTACGAGGCGATGACAACTGACATGCATCGTGACGTCGCTGACATTGTGACGTAATGTAAAATGGTTCGATTACGAGGGGGCACACTAGAATGGCGCAGTGACGGGATAACGTCATTCAATTGTTACGTCATCAAAAAACTATACCTTTATTGAACCAAAGACGTATATACACAGGATTGGAAGCCTCCACTGACAGTCTCGCTCTGATGTGGGTCGCGCTCATTTGCCACAACAGGGGTGGCTGCGCGCTGTGCATCGTGGGTAATTCGCTAACGCTGGACACCGGAAAGGATAGCGTCATATGTGGGATTATGTCAGATAAATGCGGCATTTAAATAGCATTTCATGAATCAAAGGTAAGAATTATCATTACTTAGAACATAAACGAAAGCCACCGGCATCTGTTTTCAAAGGATTAACTATTATTTTTGGCAAAGAATCCTTTTGAACTGCTGGCCAGTCGTCACTTGTGGCGCTGACTTTGAAACCAATATGGTTGACACGCTCAGTTTGCAAAATTGTACATTATGTCCTATTCGTGCGTCAATTTACGTTGCAGGGGATGCAGGAAGTCCTTAGTTACTTTGGTCAGATAATGGAACCATTTATTCTCTATGTACTTACGAAGTTGTATATGGTTAAATATATTTTGTATTTATAGATTTTCACTCGCGATTGTCATGACATTTGTGTCAAATAGAAATATTCAGTGGCATCGTCCATATTCATTGTGATTTTTTGTCACAATTTCCAAATCATGCACTGAACCATATTTTCCAGACAAAATGAATTTTAAAATTTCAATTTATGTTCGTTGTATTCATGAAGAGTTTTATTAGTTTCACGTCAATTTCGCCCTCAAAACATGCAATTAAAAATGTTAAATTTTATCTGATCACTATTTACGTATGTACATGATGTATCACCATCAGTAGTCCTGATATTTTCGTAATTTTTTTATCGGAAATATTTGAATGTCTTATTTTTATAAAATGATAGAATACATGTCTATTTAACCCAAAGTAATGAAGATTTTTAGAAAACATATATTACAAATATGTATATTGCAATATTTGTTTTGGTCTGTCATGGTCTATAGCATACTACTTGTCGAGTTGGTAGGAATCTTTATTTCCACATGTTTTCAAGATAATGCATGTCATATATGATAAAAATGTATATTGATATGGTCTATTTATATTAAATGCATTAAACCACAATGAATTTTCTGAATGATATAATTTCAAAGTCTCTGTATCAATAATTTATCTTACTTTTTGGTGTATATTGCCATATACTCTGTGCTATGTATTGAGCTCATAAGAGCTCATGCAGGTGTTTGTAAGTAATATATTTTTGTGTTTATCATTGTTCATTATGTCTGTTGTATCTTAGATGCCTCAAACTCCTCGGCCTGTGTCCAAGAGAAAGGCAATAGGCCGTAGAAAGAAAAGGCGGCACAGTTATGAACATTATGATGAAGAGAAGCAAGTTGAACATGTTGCTGCAGACCACTCCTACTCATTTCCTATGTGAGTAGCCACAAACATTTGAGATTTGTTATATTTTCTTGTTCTTTTAAAATATTTCTTGAATACACAGTACTGTTTTATACAAAAAATACTTATAAATATTTCCACACTTTTACACCAGACTTTAGACAAACTTTAATATGCCAACTATATGGGCAAATGAATACCACCATTCAATCTCCACTCAAACAACTCCATCCCCTTTCTGCCATCTCTCCCACCCTCGCCTCTCCATATGTTTACCATGTGTCAATATGAGACAGCTACTTGCTAGATCACAATGACATGTAACAAACAGTTCTGTCATGGTGTTGTAAAGTCATCTCCATCCATATAAGCTGATGTTGTTTTCTCCCTGAAGTGTTTCAATGAGTGATAATATATCCATTTCTATTCATTGACATATATTCTTATTTACATAATATTTGTAAAACAAATATTATTTGTATGTGATGTCATTGTAATTTATTGCACTTTTCAGAAAAGACTGCAGTGAGAGTGCCGGATGGGAAACTGCATGGGATAATTTCTATCTAAAAGACAGCAATCCATCACCTTCCACACCCCTTTACAGTGAAGTGACAGATTCTGACAACTGTTCTGCCAATGCGTTTTATGTTGTTCTCCACAAAGTATTCCAGTATAATGCTGAAGATGAACTGGATGTGGTTGTTTGCAGACTGTTGACTGAGAGGACATATGCAAGATATCTTTCCCTTATGGATGAAGTTAAGCAAGACCTATCAGCCTTTGGACACTTACTGTTTTCTGGTGCCAATAAACATGGTTTGAGATTTGTTCAAACATATGATCATGAACCTAGCCAGGCCATGAGACTGAATTTGATCATCAATCAGTCATTGAAACCAACTTTATTTGTCCATGGCAAGGAAGTACATACTAATCATGATTTTTGGACTGGTCTTCCACATATATATCATTCTGTGAAAGACATCCAGAAGTTACAGTCCAAACTGGAGCGATGGGACATTTGCATGGGAAACTTTGAGGCTCAGTATGTATCCATGGTGCCCTCAGGTGTTGGAATTTACAAGAGTTCAGGTTGTGTCTCTGCTGTTGCCTACCGGGAAGATATCCATGCTATCAGAGGTGACATTCCATACGAGTCAACAATACGTTCAACTAATTGCTGTCTACTGGTTCAATCAAAGAGGAGGTGCAAACACTGTGATCTGTACAGAAATACTCTGCGGAAGAAGGATTCACGTCAAAAGGCCCACACTGTGTCAACATTTTCTCTGAAGAAAACACCCCACAGTACTATGAACAGAATTCATCTGGTTAAAAAAATTAATATGCTAAAACATGAGAAGAGATCAATTCAAGCAGAACTTGACCGACTTAAAAGACGGGTGCTTGATGTCATCAAAACAAAAGGACATGTGTTGAGCTACAGTGAAAACGAAGAACTCTTACAACTTGTGGAACAATACACAAGTGATGTCTTGAGAAGTTATCCAGACGAAACTTCCACTCAAAGGCTCTTCTGGGACCAGCAGCTAAAGTATGCAAAACTCAAAAAACAAATCCGCAATGAGGTGGCACCCTATGATGGTAAAGTGGTGTTTGTATTTACGTAGCAAAAGTCAGAAAGCTTACAATGTGGCCAGAGATTCTGGATTTATTGCTCTTCCAAGTACCCGTACCTTATTTGACTATTCACATGTCTTGCCGAGTACATGTGGCTTTCATGAAAGATTTACTGAACATCTGATTGAACAGGCTGAAAAATGTGGAATGTACAAGGAAGAATGGAAATCCTATGTTGGGATCCTCCAAGATGAAATTAAAGTATCAGAAGGACTGGTTTATGACAAGAAAAGCGGCGAGTTAGTCGGATATGTAGAGCTGGACAAAACCGGGAATGACATCAGTAATATGGAAAATCTGCTTATTGACAGTGATCCCAAACTTGCAAAATCCATTCTGGTTGTTATGGTGAGAGGCATCACTACATCTTTGAAGTATCCATTTTTCTGTCTGGCTACTGATGGAATAACTTCAGCGACTTTATACCCTCCAATATGGGAAACTGTGAGAATACTAACAATTGAATGCGGGTTGAAGCCATTGTTTATTACATGTGATGGGGCAACACCTAACAGGAAATTCTTCAAACTACATCGTGATGAAAATTTGCAGAATACTTTTTGGACTTTAAACCCATATTCGTTTCCCACCAGGAAACTGTATTTCATATCTGATGTCCCACACTTATTGAAAACAACAAGAAACTGTTTCTCAAATTCTGGAGCACATAATTTGGCACGAAATCTTTGGAAAAGTGGGAAATGCATTTCATGGACTCATATTATTCGTTTGTATGAAGACCATGTTGAAACACCATTATTTACCCTATGTCCCAAATTAACCAGACATCATGTACATTTATCATCATTTGCAAAGATGAAAGTAAACCTAGCTGCACAAGTACTCAGCAAAACAGTTGCAGATGCTTTGGAAGAACTTTATGGGGACCATGTGACAGAAACTGTGAAATTTATTCGCCATATGAATCGTTTCTTCGACTGTCTTAACACTAGACATTTAGAGGAGGCAAAACGCAAGAGGAACCCAGACCTAGAACCATATAGGACACAAGATGACTCGAGATTTCACTATCTGACTGATGAGTTTCTACAATATTTCAATGACTGGGAAGTGGCAGTAATGAACAGGGCAGGACAATATACTCTACGTCAGCGAACAAATATGAAGCTGAGTCAACAGACATTGAATGGTCTCCATATCAGTGTGAACTCCATTGTAGAATGCACTAAGTTTCTTTTGCATGAAGGAGCAAGTTTTGTTTTGACCCACAGATTTAATCAAGATCCCCTTGAAGAACATTTCGCTCATTATAGACATAAAGGTGGATCGAACGACAATCCAACAGTTTTTGATGTCCGGAACACTCTTTCTGAACTCAGAGTAATTGGATCTCAAGCACTTGCTCCTATTCGGGGAAATGTTTCCAAGAAAAGACAACAGGGATCACTTGCTGTGGACAATACGCCACTAGCAAAGAGGATGAGATAGTCAAGTGACATCCTATTTCATATCATGAATGAAAACTTTGAAAGGCTCAGCTTCAAGGCGAGACAGTATGTTTTAAGTGTGACAGATACATAATTCTACTATTCCCCTACATATCTCCAGAGAATTCACCAATCTGTGAAGGCTGTGACAACGATGGTATCTCAACACTGGACTATTACAGTAACAGAGTGAAATCAGACTATGCAGAGGAACATGTCTTCCTACGTGGTGATCTGAATGCCAGTATGAAGGACTTTCTAAAGTACATTTCTGATGACATTGTTGAATATGTGTAGTGTGCAGAGTACTACCCCACTGTGTTTGACAGTCCTAGGAACATGAACGGCATAATAACTATGGCAATGAATTAGCTGAACTGTGGCTAATTACATAGGGTACATAGGGTATGGCAGAGTACTTAATGACCAGTGAATTCACTTTACATGTGTCACACATAATGGTGCAATATGTTGGCATCCTCATCAATTTCCATGTATTAGGATACTTTGGTATTTGTACATTTGATTTTTCATGTAACTTTCCATAAACATGATTATATTTTCACTAGAGATTTCTTGTAAACAATGTAGATAGCCATATGCCAGGTAACCATGGTAACAGCTGTAATGACCATAAGGATATGAAATGAAATATTTTGTAAGTTTGTGTGGTTAAATGATTATGGAAATACCTTGTACAGGCAGATGTATTGTAGGTATTCTAGCATTGATGAGTCTACATGATGCGGCAACTCATACTGTGGGTGCACATCCACCATGGTTTACAGATAATTGCAGCCAAAATTATAGGTCTTGCAGCTCAAAGAGATCATTATCAATGTCTGTATATATAGAGACAGTTTTGAGGAATATTTAATAATAATAATAATAATGTGTCCATTTATATAGCGCAAAACTCCACACTAGGTAAGCTCATAGCGCTAACAATCAAGGCCATTATTACCCCGGATAACCCAAGCTGCCTGTTAGGCGCTAGAAGGTTATAGTCATATGACTTTTTTCCACCGGGTACCCATTTTCCTGCTGGGTGAACAGAGGCAATTTTGAACAAACTCACTTTCCTAAGGTGAGACCACATGTATGACATGTGCTTCGTTGTGGGACAGGACTAGTCCTAGAAACTCTCAGGAGTCAAGCTGCCAAACACGGTCACCCATCCAAGTTCTCTCCGAGCTCGACGCTGCTTAACTTCACCGATTTGTGACCTGAGCTTTAAGCACAGGACAACGCGCCACTAGTGAAATTGTAAAAACAATCCCAAAAATTATAGAGGCATTTTACTTATAGATTCCAGCTATGAATATTTATTCACTCATTTTAGCTGATGATGTCTCAGCCATATCTCATACTTGTGTTCAGCTACAAAGAAAGTTTACAGTGCTTGAATTTTTTTTGTGAAACAAATGGTATGAATGGTATGAAAACTAAAGTTGTTGTTTATAGAATTTACTTTGAAGTCTTGTGAAAAATGGTTTAATGATTGGAACTCTATTAATTTGGTATCTTTATATGAATACTTTTGTCTTGTGTATACCCCAAAGGTAATATGGAGCAAAGCTCAAACATGTTTAGTATCCCAGGCCAATAAGGCATTATTTTCTGTCAATAATTTTCAAAGGAAATTAGTTAATTTCAATTGTGTAGAAAAATGGTTAAGATATTTGATTGTATGACCTGTACCATGCTATGGATAAAAAATGAGGCTCTTCTGACTGAAATACCATTGAATCTGTCCACATTTAATTTTGTACAAATGCATTTAATGTTGGAAAATGTACTTGTAAAAATATTGTTTTAAATTTAGGTGAATCTGGAAGACTACCTTTGCAAGACTACCTTGGAGAAGATAAAAAAAAATGTTCTATTTCAATATGGATTTGGCTTTGTTTGGATATAAAGGTACTATGCTATCCAAAAAGCTACAGTTAATGATTTTTTAAGCAAAAATTGTTTGATAACTTATTTCAGTCCCAGTATTCTCTAGTCAAAACATAAAATATTTTATTGCAGTGATTTTAATTCTATTTTAAATGTTGTACATTTAGATTAGAAAACTGGTAGATGTGAAAATGTCATTTTTGAAGAGAGGTATTGCAAATCATGTGAATACTAGGGTATGTTTCTATTGGATGATGAATGTATTTTATATTTGTAAAACATATTCGCTGTACATGAAGAAATATTGTAGTATTGATCACATCATTATTAATTTTGTTGGAATAGTAAACAGTGATGTAATAAGAGATGTATGGCAATTTTTTTACCATGTAAATAAGACAAGAACAACGTAAATGCACATTGTATACATAATTGTGATGAAGTTTATATTTTGGGCTGGAGATCTGTTACTGAAATAAACCATGAGTCAGTCTTTCTGTCTGTCTGTCTGTCTGTCATACTGATGATCGGAAACAGTGAACTGAGATACTTGCCATTGCCACATATAATGTGAACTGACCTTGCAAGGTTGAGTAGGAACAAATGGATTTACATCTCTGACATTTATTTTTTTTAATGATAAAATCAGGGGACGCAATTCACCTAATAATACCAAATCCCAGATTATATTATAAAATATCATATTTATCAGGTTAATCATTGTAAGGTCTCAATCGTTTTCTCAGAGACTGGGATTTTTTTCCTTTGAAAAAAGGTTTGGCGTTTTCCTTCTGCGTTTGTCTTTGCACGCGTTTTGCAGTGGCCCTTCCACGGAGTCTTAGGAATAGATCTACAATGTTCTCTAAGATTGATGTTTTTAATTTATCCTCAGAGTCAGTTAGCTTGTCCCAGTAGTAAGAAACTGTGATATCTTGCAAGATTGTCTCTTTCAGTGCTGTCTTTGAATCATTGTTGTGATCATATAAATTAGATGCCTGCCTGCATATTGCCTCTATCTTTCGGACAAGAAAGAAAAAGTTATCACCACAGACTTTCAGTCCACCACGGTTCACCTTCAGAGTCCACTTTTTTATCTTCGTAACAAAATCAGGAGACTTCTCAGTGGATGAGGCACAAAGGTTTTTCATAATTAATGCAGAGGCTGTATTTCCTTTCTTTTTTTGATTTTTTTTCCATAGCATAAATCAAGTATCCCGATATGTAGAAGAGCACAGAGTTGTCTTGGTGTGTAAATGATTCTGCAGACTTCTCTGTGTCCATCTGCAGACTTATAGTAAAATTGTTAACAGCGCATCTGAGGAGGTCGTCCAGCAGACACTGACTAAACAGGTGGACATGCATTTCTGTCTCTCTGGAAGCTCTCATGATCACGGATCTTAAGCTGGCGCAAAATTCAAAGTTTGTCCTCATTGCATGGAATTTCCTAAACATTAATTCCTTGTCTGATGAGAAAGAGCTTGTCTTTCCAAAAAACGGCCAATGTGTCCAGTAATGGTGGATTGATTAATGTTTCGAGATGTTGCATTGTGACAGGTGAAGAAATCACTGCTTTGCCAATCTCAACCATGATACCTCCAGATTTTGATGTCATCGAATTGTGGTTTGGGTTGTTGCACACTTCG